GGACAAAGAGAATTTCAATTCTTCCAGTATATAAGCCAATTGTGCCTATTGAACACCACCACTGATCACGCCAAGTGCCATAACTCTCATAACTTAATAATTGCTGTCAAAATCTAATGCAGATTTCCGAGGTACTCAATTTCGGCTACAAGATTCTAGATATCATAGCTAAGAATTTTCCCTGTCAAGGTAACAATTTCAATTATTTCTTGAATTTTTGCACTTTAATTGGAACGGATAATCTCGAGTATATGCTTCCTGATGTCTAATACACCACATTTTATTCTTCTGAATCTGCACTATAGAACGATACATAAATCACCCGAATTTATCCCCGCCTAATGGGTAACAAATTCACATTTCTGAACACCCAACACATAAAGATGCGAGTTTCGTCTCTTGGCGAGCTGTCACTCCATTCGTACCTTGTGATTGACCACAAAAGTTCATAATGGTTCATGAACGCGCGAATTTTCATGGTTCCAAAATTTCCAATAAGTGTGCTGAATTTTAAAGATTTATTCTATTAATGATTAATAGTAAGATTGTATTTATGTTTGTGACAGAGGGGTGTTTATGATGCACCGAAGTGGAATTTTTGCATAAAACTGGAGAAATTTTGTTGAGTTCTTACGCGCTGTTTATTGGTTGTTTGCGTTGTATACCAGGTGCTTCAGTTGTTGTTTTTGGCTGTAGCAATCAGCATTTCCCGTAATAATGACTCTCTAATTACTGCCAATTGAGTGTTGTAAATTTTTATGATTTTCATTCGTATAGTTTTTTCATTCATAGTTTTCAGTGCAATACCGCAACGATGGACCGTGAAATGCATCGGGAACAACTCATTTCTGTGGTTGAAAAGGTTTTGAAACGGTTAACCGCCCAAGTGATGACTCCCAAAAATGTATCGTCTGTAATTCGTAAAGCTGTTGGTCGAAAGGTTATCATTAATTTAGCAATGTGATCAATGCTTTCAAATATGCTTTCAGGATTACAATAATTTCAAAAAGTCTGCTCAGTATTTCAGATTTATTTTATTAAAGCTTAAGATTCACTGACTGTGTACATAAATTGATAACTAAATTCTGTCAGGCAGACCGAGATAGGCTGGAAAATGCGGTGACTAAAACGAACGAAGAGTTCACGAACACTGCAATCGAAGAAGTCCAAGAGTTGATCGATGAACACGATGTACTCAATTTATTAGTTGAATCTGATTTGTTATGTTTATCATCATTGCCGGCGGAATGTTATAGAGCTGATCACGACTAATTCTCCTAGTTATTTCTCGCGTTTCTTCTCCATACCCCATCCTACCATCTAACGATACACACCTCCTATTTCACAAAGAAGCGTCTGGTCGGTCTTTTCAACCTTCCTGAGTATCATTCTGATGTTAATATAGTCAGTGTGTCGTTTTCCTAAGGGTAGAACATGTGAGGAACTGTGATGTGATACTCGTAGGAAGTACGATTGTGTGTTCTAGAGCAGTGCTCCTAACGCTCGATGCTCCATTACCC